ATAAAATTAAACATTTTGAATATTTAATTCTTCTTCTAATAAAATTTTTAAGAGTATTAACTAACAGTGAGACTGAGTAACATAGAAACTGCATTATGTGTACACAGCCTTTGTTGGCTATTAAAGACATGTTCAATGTTCTTGGTAAACATCTTAAAAATTATGCCTTTTTCAATAAAACAAGAGCTCACCACTGAATAAAGGCACCTTTATCTCTGTTATTCAATAATATTGACAATGCATCTTCCCTTCCAAGAGATTCTATGAGCCCTTGAAATATTCAATACACTTTTGGGATTAGATTATTTTTCCCTTTGTTGTTCTTCTAGTGCAAGTGATTTTTCAATGTGCAGGATGTGTGGCTTGGTGTTCGTGTAGTTTGTATGTATTTAACCACCCAAAGAAGTGAAACTGATATGTTAGCTTCTTTCCATTTGAAAACATCTGTGGCTCAGGGGTGGCAGTTCTCAGGGCAAACATACCTTCAAAGTGTGTCAAACAAAAATCCAGTCAATTGCAGGATAAGAATTCTAATAAATATATAAAAATCAATTCCTATTAAAACTATAAATACATTACTTATGCCAAAGAATTATAGGAACTTTTTATTTTGCTTTCTTTCCCCTACAATCTCTGTGTCAGAACAATAGCTGAAATTGCTTATGTATGTCTAGAAACCATCTTATTCTTTTTGGACCAGCCAGCTAATTATGGAACTCGAACTTTCAACATTAATTGAAGGTGTAAATATTTTAAAACGTGTGTAGAAGATGAGTTTAATTTAGTGCTTAAGTACTGAAATGAAGCCTTTGATAGGTACAAAACCCACTTGTTTTGAGTGTATTCCTACTACAAGAAAAATCACACTCTACAAAAATAATAAACAAGATGTCACAAAAAACCCCAGAACTCTTGCTTTTCTTCTTTTGCTAGACGCTGGAAGCAGATGTTGTAATTCTTGCTGTAGTTCTTTCTTATTAATAATAACTTTAGTAAAGGATGGACACTTGTGAATTTTCAATCGCTGCATAATTGAAAGAAAAAGAGCTGGGTGTTTTTGCCGGCAGGTTGTCAATTTTGGTTTATTTCTTTATTTATCAATATTGTTCCTTCTTCATTCAGCAATAAAATTGAGCACCTACTCAGTACCAGGCACTGGGCTAGATGGTAGACTAAAAAAGAATCACCATGATGTTGCTACCTGATTTCACTTCGATAAGTGCTTTAGATGTTTTTATCTCATTTATCTTTATCGTAGATCTAAGATGTAGGAATGAACCCCATTTTACATATGGGGATCTGATATCTAAAATCACATAGTCTAAAATGGTTCAAAGCAGATTATATGCTTCTAAAATCTGTGAGCATAACTCACGTGGTGCGCCCCTTCCCCTGGCCTTGATGTGCTGATGGTCCATTGGAGAACACAAATGGGTGAACAACAAACACCCACAGTGCTAAATAATTAGCTCTCCATTAGAGGGATGTCCCCAGGTAGGTGGTGACAGAAAGAAGAGTACAGTACTTCCAGGGAGAGAGGGGAATTTTACAAGGGGAGATAATATTTCAATAGTTCAATGAGTTTCAAAAATTCAATGAGTTGACTTTTGAAGAATGATTTAAAGTTTGCCAGGTGGATGGGGAAAACAAAGGCACACAGATGGAGGAAACCTGTAAACAATGTGTGGGCCATAAGAGCATTTGATGTTTGAGAATGCGGAGCAGTGCTGTGTGGCACAAAGAGGACAAGTCTGTGCACCCCACTGTTTTATTATATTCTCACCACAACCCTGTGAAGATTGTTGCTGGAATGCGGAGTGATTGAGGGAGGTGGTGTATTGAGATGCTGTGAATATAAGTTGGGGATGGGTTGCAATAACCCCTTTATGCCACTGAGTTTTCTAATTTTGTTATTCACTGTGAAATGATGACTTAAGCCCCAACTTGAATTTCTTGATGCCTCCAGTAATTGGTGCAGTGTTTAATCCCTGTGGGGTACTCAGTGTTAGAAGTTTGAATTCATGAATGAATACAACTTCATGTTATCAACAGGTTTTGCATATTGGAAAGACTTGAATAATAATTGTGATGAGTTCTGATTTGATAATGAGGTTGAATGAAAATCTTAATTTGGCTTAAATACATATAGAATATAGTAGCAGAGAGTAGAACAAACATTTAAGTATTTTTTTTACGATAAAAGAAGAAATTTGAGAACTACTTCTCAAAAACCACTTGGAGATAATTATTTCTAACTATTAACCCTTGTGATCTTTACTAAAGCTGGAAATAAAACCAGATCCTTCCTTCTCTAGATTTTTGCTTCCCATTCAATAACAGCAATTTCTTTCCAATTAGGTTTTTATTAAATCATTCTCAGGTTATAGGCAGGAGTATTCCTGCCAAAGCTACTGAAGTATTTTTAAAAATTCACCCAGATTTTCTGCTTCACTATAGGACACCTGAAAAGCAAAGTAAGAATGTAGAAGGAAGACATAGGGCAATTTTCACTTATTTAGTTTCTGTCTTGCACCTTAGTACTCTAGCTGCACATTGGAGCTAACAAGCTATCTAAATTACCTTAAGTCAAACTAAATCCAGACATTTCAAGAAGCCAGAGAACGAACTCATGCATTTGCATTTGATTTAATTTCATTTGCTTGTTAGCACCACTGGTTCATTATTTTCATTCATTCGGTAAACA